GATGTTAGCCCAGGGCCAGTCTTCCTCAGCAAAAAAAGAGGAGGATTGGCAGATCTTAGCTCAGGGCTGGTCTCCTCACAAAAAAAAAAGAGAGAAATGGCTGTACTCAGACCCAGGCCCAGGTATAAATTTAGGGGGAAAAAGTCATAGCTTGTTCCAATTCTAAACAACCGAAGTCTCAGAACCTGCAGGGCGTTTCAGGGTAAAGACTCAGAACAGGCCCAGGTATAACCGCCTTAAGCCAGGCTTGCTTAGAGACACCTCCACTTTAAGAAGCCACAATGAATTCTCTGAAGTTTATTTTTAAACAAAATATACACCATGTTTGAGGAGGAAATATTGCTTTATGGATAATGAGGAGAGAAAGGGAGAAAGGCCATTTGTTGGTAAAATGTCTTTCCAGAAGACAAGAATTTCCTTCAATGTCTGGATTAGCTGAGTGCCCATCGGAGGGTGACATGGGAGCAGCCCTCTGAGTAAGGAGAACAGGGCCGTGTCAGCGAGGGGACAGAAACCCCCCTCCTCCCTGGGGCTCTGGGCTGGGCTGTGGAGGGAATTATGGACGCTGAGACCTGGCTTGTCGTCTCACAGTTCTCAAAGTGTTCACCAAGCGTGAACCATGTGGGGATGCGTCACTGTGTAAAATAGAGGACGTTCTTTAGAAAATAAGGCAAAAGAGAAAGAAGAAAAAAGGAGGAGGGGGCGGGGAAAGGAGAAAGCATGGCAGTCTCCCAGCCCCTCCCGGGTTTGTGTTTTGCTGCCTTCCTCAGCCCGGAAGGGGAGCAGGGCACCACAGAAACCTACTTAGGCAAAGCACTTGGCAGCTAACGGGCAGGTGGTGAGGTCGCGGCCAGGACGGGGAACGCGGTGGCATACGCCCTGTGACCAGTGTCCCTCTGTGGGTGGTCTGCAGTGCCTGCGTGTGTGCCCAGAGAGCTGGAACAAACTGGCATCGCTGTAAATAAAGCAGAGGGAGGGGAGCAGACCTGCGGGGAGGGGGGGAGGGAGGGAGGGGGGGAGGGATGAAACCCACTCTGAAGCCAAACCGAGCTTTGCGCTGCCGGTTCTACCGCCACCTCCGGCTCCTGGGGTCTGACTGGAGGGGCCGCCTCTTCGCCAGAGCCTCCGGCCTGTGTCTGACGGTGGCCCTGGAGCTCTGGGCTGGAGTGACTAACTGGGATGCTGTGCAGGCAGGGCCCTTTCTACAGACACCCACAAGCACTGTGCTTTGGCTTTGGTTCTCATGTATGAATTTGTCAAGAGAAGAGGAGCAACTTAGAGTCCGAGTTCAGAGCCCACTCGGAGCGGGGCCAGCCCCTTTGCCAAGTTACCCATGTTTTCACTCACTGTAAGAGGAGGACTTCTGCTGTGTGTGCACTGACCACACCGAAGGTCAGTGCATCGTGAAGCCTGTCCCTCTGTTGGTCTTTCAGTTACAGTTTCTTACTGAGTGTCCACTGTGTGTTAGCCTTTGGCCTGGGTGACAGGGAAACCGTGAACCAAACTTATGTGATGAATATGACCAAGTGCCGTCCACGTACTGGGCACTGTTCCAGGTGCTGGGACAGAGTGGGGAGCAGAACGGCAGGGCTCCGGCCCTCAGGCAGCTCACGTTCCAGCAGGGGAGCCGGACAACGAACCAGTCGCCAGAGAGAGCATGTGCACTGTCAGGTGGAGAGAAGTGCTCGGAAGGAAAATAAAGGAGGGAAGGGGTCAGAGACCATGGCGGGGAGGGTGAGCTTCTAATCTGTATGGAGCAGTCAGGGAAGGCTCCTTGAGGAGGTGGCACTGGCACAGAGACCTGAAGGAAGTGAGGGATGGAGGCAGCCAGGAGAAGAGCATTTCGAATAGGCGCAAGAGCAAAGCTCTAAAGGGGGCGAGCTCACTGCGTTGGAGGAAGAGCAGAAAGGCCAGTGTGGCTCAAGTGAGTGTGTGACCCATGGGAAGCCTGGCACAGGGGGTCAGGGAGGTGGGAGGGGCCAGCATGTGAAAGGTCTGGTAAGAGGAATCTGGACTTTGCTCAAAGTGTGAAGAGGAGCCATTTGAGGGTTGGGGGCCATGGCTGACCTGAGGTCCTGCCTTGAAAAGATCACCTGGCTACTGTGTGGAGGACAGACTGCAGGAGGCAAGATGGTCGGGGGAGTCCTGTTTTCAGACGCTACTGCAGCAATCCATGAGTTGAGGGATAATGGTAGCTTGGACGAGGGAGCAGCAGTGCAGGTGGTGGGAAGTGCTCGTATGTGGGAAGAACCAAGAGGACCTGCTGACAGACTGGATGTGGGGTGTGTGAGAGGAAAAGGCACCAGGCCGTGCCATCCACATAATGAGAAACACCGGGTGAGCTCTGGGAGTCTGGGGAACTCAAGAGTTCCATCTTGGGCATGCTGAATTTGAGATGCCCCTTAGACATGCGCAGTAGGAGGTGGGCTTATGAGTCTGGAGTTCAGGGGAGACATCAGGGCTAGACTGGAAATTGGTAATCAACGGTGCAGAGGTGGTAGTTAAGGTCATGGAATAAGTAGAAAGAGAAGAGAAGCAGTGAGAGGACTGAGCCTGGGCACCCCAGCGATTAGAGGTCAGAGAAAGGACAGGGAACCAACGGTGAGATTGAGAGGGAGCTGCTGGGAGGTGGAGGAGAACAGGACAGGACGGGGCCCCAGGTGCCAGTGAAGAAATGTTTGAGGAGGAAACAATCGACTGTGCTGATGCTGCTGGTAGATCGAGTAAGGTGACCGGAATTGACTCAGAATTGACCCCTGGGGGGTTTAGCAATGTGGAGGCAACTGGTCATTCTAGTGGGGCAGAGAGATATGAAACTAATATCAGACCAGTAGCTATATAATTACAACTCTGATAAGTACCGTGATGGAAAAGCATAAGGAGTTGCGACCATATGACAGAAAAGCAGACCCAGCCTGGCAGGTCGGGGAAGGCCCCTCTGAGGAAGTGACGGTTAGACTGTGCCTGAATGATAGGTAGGAGTCACTGAGGTGAACAAGGGAAGGGGGTGCTAGGGAGGGACAGAAGACATGCCAGGAGAGGAAACAGCTTATGCACAGCCCTGGAGTGGGAGGACTTGGTGCCGTAAAGGAACAAAAAGAAATACAACGTGGCTGGAGCTTACCAATGAGAGGGAGGGGGCATGACGTGAGGCTGGAAAGTTGGGCTGGGGCCAGGTCCACCTCACAGGCCCTGTAAAAGACTTTGCACTTGAACTTGAGAGCAATAGGAAGCTACCGAAGGGTTTTGGGCATGGGAGTGATGTGATCACACTGATGTTTACAGAAGCTCCCCCTGGCTGCTGTAGGGGACGGATCTGCAGGGGAAGAGGGGACTGTACCTCCAGAAGAACTCTTCTCAGCTCTCACCACCTTTACTCAGACGTCCGCCATCTTTCTCCTGGGCCATCCCAAGTGCGTCCCAGTTGATCTACTTATTTCTAGTCTGTCTTTCTGTCTGTCTTCCCATCCACTCATCCATCCATTAAACCATCCCTCCTTTCCTTCCTATCCATTCATTGATCATGTAGAGTGCCTTCACCAGGCCATTAGCACAATCTTTCTAAAACTAGTCACACAAAGCTCAAAACTTTCAATGGCCCTCTGCTGCCCAAGACTAAAATACAAACTCCACTCAACCCCAGTCAAGGCTGTGCCTAGTCCACCTACCTTTCCTGCTGCACCCTGGCTTCTGCCCTACCTCTGTGTGAGAGTGGAAAGGGCACGGACTCCATGACCAGAGACCCAGGTTTAAAGCCCAGCTCCCTCACTGGCCAGCCAGGTGTTTTTGGCAAACACTTCCTGACCCGACGTATCCTTTCCTGCCATGATACGCCATGGCCAGCACAAACCCCCACCTTTGCTCAGGCTACTCCCTTTACTGGAGTACCTGTCGAGATCCATCTATCCTTCCCGGCACCTCCACGGGGAAGGCTTTCCTCGCCTGGGTTTCCATGGCTTTCTGTAACTCTTCTTGTCTCTCTCCTAGTTTGTTTTGTTTTCGAAGGATGCTTGGGGTTTGTACCTCAACTGCATCTTCGAACCTGGGCCCCGAGAGCAAGCTCTCCTCTCCACAGTCCCCAGACAGCGCCTGCCACAAAACGGGTCCTCAATGAATATTTGTTGACTTGTTCCCAGAAACACGAAGTACCAAGAACAGTGCTTCCCAAACTTCAACATGTGCATGAGGCACTGGGGATTCCTGCCAAATGCAGATCCCAATTCCGCAGGGCTGCGGTGGGGCCTGCAGCCTCCTGGTGCTGGCCCCTGGACCAGGCTTTGAGGAGCAAGGCCCTGAGAAATGAGCAGACGCTCTCCGGCTCTCGTTGGAGCCTGTGCTTGTGCCCGCAGGGGCCAGCACCTCCAGGGCACCTTTGGTCTGGGGCTTGTTACCTCAGAGGTTCCGAGGGACTGGATCTCCCGTGGTAACTCCACGGCGTGCTTGCTGAAGTAGTCCATGGTGATGGCGTTGTTCCAGTAGCTCAGGTTGTTCTCTGGGTTGGCCGTCTTCTTCTTCCTCCTCAGGCAGCACACGGTCAGCAAGACAGCTGCGGGGAGAGCCCAAGTTAGAGATGGGAGGGAGGCGACAAGCACGGAGCCCGCACTGCTGAGCGGCAGATGCCAGGCTCCGGGGGGCTGTGATGGTCATACAGTCAGCCACCTACCTCTTTCATTAATTCATTGGTATGTTTAACAAGTATCTTTATATGCTGAGTGCCTACTTTGCGCCAGGTGCTGGGGAGACAGGGAGTGAAGAGAAAGCCAAGGTTGCCTGCTCTCATAAGCGTCCCTCCTGGTGTGCGTATGGGAGGGCGCAGAGAGGTTCTGACAATACGTAAGTAATAAACAAAATGAATAAATAAGGTAAATTCAGATAGTGATAACTGTTCAAAGAAAATAAAACAGGTTGAAGGGAGAGACACAATGGAGGGGAGTTGGGGAGAGACTGCTTCAGAACCGTCGTGAAAGGCTTCCCTGAGGAAGCGACGACCTTCGAGTTGAGAATAGGACGTGGGGAAGGAGCTAGCCACGTGTCGAACGGGGGGCAGTGTGTTCCAGGCAGAGAACAGCATGTGCAAAGGGGAGAAGCTTGATGTGTGTGGGAAGAGTAGCACGGTGGGAGTGGAGTGAGCACGGGGAAGTGAGGAGGAGATGAGGCCAGAGCAGAGTTGAGAGGCTGCACCCACAGGGCTTAGGTGCAAGAGGCCTGGAGGTGATTCTGGATATTTGTGGATGCTGCAGGGCCCCTCCTTGAGTCTGCTCAAAGCTGCACTGCTGGACTGATGGGGAGAGTTCTCAGAGTGGGTGTGGGGCAGAAAGTGCGCTGAGCCCAGCGAGCTCTACAAAATGAGCCCTTGTTTCCACAGAGGGCCTTGAAGGCAGAGGCTCATAGAGCAAACCACTGGGTGGAGGTCTTGGACTCAATAAAACAGCTGCTCTGCATCACCAGCACCATCATCCAAGCCGCTAGCACTCACAGAGTTTCTGTGCCAGGCAGAGTTCCATGCACTTTAGGAATATTAATTCATTTAATTCTCCAGTACAGACATGAAAACAGACTCAGAGAGGCGAAGGGACTTGCCCAAGAGCAAATCCAGACATCTGGACTCCAAAGTCTGTGCTCTCAACCACCCCGACTCTGCCTCACAGACACTGATGCAGAAGCCGCACTGCACAGACAGGCCTGGTCAGGGCTCCACGCAGCCTAACCGGTGACCCCGTCTGTTCAATCTCAGCCTCGTGGGGCCCTAGGAGGGAGGAGCACGTTTGGACGTTGCTGATGAAGCAGGTATGAACAGAGAGGCTCGGGCATGCCAACAGGGAAGGTTTCCGAGGTTAAGAGGCGGGGAGGCCTGTCCAGGCTCACACAGTGGGACAGGTGATGCAGTGACAAGGGCGACAGGAGCCCTCTTGGGGAGAAGCCAGAACGTGAGGACGAGGCTGCTCCCGCCCAGGCTCACCATCACCGGAGCCGGCGGGGCGGCTGGAACTCCAGGCCAGGGGTGGGCAGAGCTGCACCCAACATTCTGGGGGAGGGGCCAACCCTCTGTGCTGGGGAGAGGAGGCCCCAGGCTGCGCTGGGCTCAGAGGCCAGCACCATGATGGCAATGGCCAGCGGAGGGCAGCAGAGGGCCAGCTCTGTCCACAGCAGCCCGAGGGTTTGGCCAACACCGGGGGGCCTGTGCACGCCAGGGTGTGAGGCAGCTGCAAAAGCAGCCCCCACACCGGCTGAGGCCTCGGGGCCCACACTCCAGGCCCCCGTGGGCTGACAGAGGAATTCTGTAGCTCGCTTTCCAGCCGCTGGCCTTGCTGGCATCTCAACCCGAAAAGGCCTCCAGACAAAGCCAAGAGATCGGGCAAGTTTCCATTCCATCCATCTGCTTGGATCAAATTTGCTCACCATTCTTCCAGGTCCCCTTAAAAAGGTTTTAAGGAGATTTCTGAATGTTTGAGCTAAAAGGAATTTTAGACTGGCTGGTACAGACTTTTTCAAAATTTGTGGGGTCTCCTCCCTTCTTTTCTCCAGAGCCCTTTCTTCAACTGATTGGAGGAGGGATGGGGGTGAAGGGAGGGCTGCAGAGCTTAGCCTGAAATCTGCTAACCTAGGGCACCTCCTCAGCCTACAGATCACTATGGTCCAAGCAATCCAGCTGACTTGCCACAGGTCACAGGCCAGTAAGTGGCAGGGCTGTGGCAAGAGCTGAGGTCCTATCTCCCTTTTTCTGATGTCTTTATTTTTTTTAAATTTATTTTTCTTTTTGTTTTTCTGGTGAGGAAGATTCACCCTGAGCTAACATCTACTGGCAAACTTCCTTTTTTTTAAAAAAATTTTTGCTTGAGGAAGATTAGCCGTGAACTAACATCTGAGCCAATCTTTCTCTACTTTGTATGTGGGATGCCTCCACAGCATGGCTGATGAATGGAGTAGGTCTGCACCCGGGATTCGAACCTGCAAACCTAGGTCGCCGAAGTGGAGCGCACAGAACTTGAACCACTCGGCCACGGGGCCGGCAACTGGTGTCTTTATTCTTCACTGTCACTACTTTTCTCTGCTCCTGCAACTGCAATGGTGAAATAGCCTGGGGGAATTCAAGCTGGTGACACAGAAGCCATAAAGAGAGGGCTAGGCTGCTCCTAACCCATGCTGCTAACCTAGGCTGGCACAGGTTGCAGAATCCAGGTCCTCTGACCCCCAGTCCAGTGCTCCCTCTAGGCCCGCACTGCCCCTGGCTCTGGAGCTCTGGCCTGTTTAGGACACAGGAGCAGGATCCTGCCCTGTGGGAAAGGCTAGCATTGTGGTGGGATGGCCTGGGGTCAGGACAGGCAGTTCTATTCCTAGCTTCTCCTCCTCACATGTTGTTAGTGAACCCGGCCTGATTATATTTCTCCCAGGGGGTTCCCAGTGCCTCTCAAACGCTGTTTCATTCACATACTGGGAGCTGGCCTGGCTGTAGGAAGAGCATGGGTGTGGAGTCCAGAAGACCTGGGTTAAGTCTGGCTCTGCCACGTGTTACACTAGGTAGGTCCCTTCATCACGCTGATCACTATGGACTTCCCATGGCTGTAAGGAGAGTTAAAGACATCATGAATGCAAAATGCTGACTGCACTGCCTGACACACAATTAATAAGAGTTCTCTTCTTGTTCTCCCAGCATCTTCCACAAGAGAGATCTAGAAAGAAAAACTGGGCTGCATGACAGCTGGGTGGCTCAAGGCCAAGGCTCCACCTGTGGTTTAGAACTGTCATTATTTCAGTGGTCTGACCTTTCATTTCAGAAAGGAAAGTACAGCTCAGACATACGGAGTCTCTAATATATTCCCAGCACTGACCCAGGTGCTTTACAGTCTGATTTAACCCACAAGATAACCGTCCGAGGAAGGTCCTGTTACTCTCCCTATTTACAGAAGCTCATGGAAGTTAACAAAACTGATTGTGATCACAGCTAATCCCTGGAACGTGATCCCAGGTCTCTGTGAGCCTCAGGTTGACACTCGCTGTCCTGGATGGTCCTTAACACTGGAGGGACTGTGCCGCAGGCACGCGGACACACTCTGTCTACTTCGCAGCTCTGTGCAAACACAAGGCGCACACACACTCCCTTCCCGATTTAATTGAAAGCTTCAACTGTTCTGTTTCTCCAAAGGCAGTGGCCGTCAAGACTCAGAGAAAGTCAACGGGATCTCTATTTCCTCACGTTTTAAACCTGGAGCAAGAATTAAGCAAGCGCTCTCGGCTTCCCAGGGATGTCGGTGGGGAACCATCCGTGGCTTGTCAGATGTGACAAGGAGGAGAGGGTCACTGATTTTAAGATGGAGCCCTGGGTACTGTGCTGACACTTCTGGGAGGGGCATGATTTCAGGGATGGGACCTGCTGTGTGATGGGAAATGGAAACGAAACACTGAGGACTCAACCTTTCTAAACACCTGCTATAAGTGCTCTCTCCATGGGCTGTGTGAGAATGCACAGCAAATCCCAACTACAGGGAGATGAACAACATCACCACGTGACCCCTGCCATTTACTGAGCACCATCTCCACGGGAGACACTGTGACAGGACCCTACAGGGATCACGCCAACTTCCACAGGGTCTTTGCAGTGGGTGCTGCAGCCGTGGAAACGCTCCGCTCAGATCTCCTGCTGCAGGGAGCATGGCTGAGGGACGCACCCAGCTGTCGCCCCTCTGGATCCCCACCACGTATATGCCAAGGCCATGCATCCCAGGCTGCCCCCAGCCGTGACTGACTGCAGCAGGGGTGCTAGTGCAGGCCTGTTCCTGCAGGACAGGAGGCTCCTCTACTGGCCTGAGGACTCCCATCGGCCTGTCAGAAACTCTCAGAACCGCACTGCAGACCAAGACTCCTCCTTCCCAGGCCTCCGGCCCTCCCCCTCTCCTTCTGCAGGTGTCACACCTACATTGCAGTCTGGGGCTCTCCCTGCCTACTCTCCTCCTGCCCTTTATCCTTCCCAGGTGTTTCACCAATAAATCTCTCACAGGCCTAATGCTGTTCTGGTACCTGCCTCCTGAAGGCCCTGAACTAACACAGTGGATGTGAGTCCTATTTTCACAGGTAAGAAAACACTGGACCAACAGTTAATTTGTGCAACTCCCACAGGCGACAAGTGGGCAAGCTGGGATGACATCCAGGTGTGTTTGAGCCCCAAGCCAAGTGTTCTGAACACACCAGGCGTCCTCTCTAGTGATTTATGCAGGTTTAAAGTTAGGAAAGTCAGAGTGGAGGGAGCCCTGACATAGTTCAGTTTGGCGCCCTGAGTCTGTAGATGAGAAACCTGAGACCCTCAAGGGAAGGACTGGGCCAGTGGTGCCAACTCGAGGGGAGAGCCAGGCTGTGGACAATCACCTCCCTCCTTGGGAGGCTGGGGGAGGAGGCCCAGAGGAGGTCTCAGGGTACGGAAGGAGGCCAGGCTGGACGTGAGGCCATGGGCCCAGGGAAACCAGGTTTGGGGGCTTACCGCCTGGCTCCCCATCCTGGCGGGTGGGAATATGCCTGAAGAAGCCCAACGAAGTTCCCAGCAGGGGGCGCAGGGTGGGAAGCACGGAGAAGAGCTATGAGAGCGTGGGCACGACACGCTGGTCCAGCCAAGGTGACATCCCCTGGACAAGCTGCCTTGCCCCGCTTCTCCCCGTCCTCCTCCAATTGGTTCATGAGCCCCAAGGAGACAAAGCTCCGGGTCACACTTCCTTCCTTCCCAATCTCTTCTGCTCTCCTCACTGGGTAGAGCACTTCTGACCCAGGTTTCCTTATACGATAACTACAAAGGCATCTGAGACTGTGACTAAAAGGTACATGTATACCTTCAGGCTTGACTAACACTCAGAGAACAACTAACATAACCAAGAACCATGCGGGCACAAGGATGCATTCTCTCTCTGAATGCTGCCCTGACGCTCCCGGGGACTTGACCGTACGTCTGAAAGGAAGCCAGACTGCTCCGGGGCAGGACGCACATGGACCCTCGCGTGTTCAGGGTCAGCGAGAGGTGCCACTCTGCTTCGGCCAGGCTCACCTTGGACTGCTGACCAACATCTGCAGCTGGCCTGTTTCCTGCTCTCATCCTCCACAGAGCCCTGTCTTCAGGGAGGCTGAGTGAAGACACGCTCAAGAATGGATGTGGTATGTGCAGGACTTACCCGGGAGCCTGGGAGAGCCACAGAACCCACCTCCTGATGAACTCAGCACTGACAGCGGTGAGCGAGGACCAATTCAGCGCCAGGCCGAGGCATCTAGCGGGAGGTGGTGGGCTCTATGTGTCCTGATGGTGGCAGCAGAGACCAGCTCAGGAGGCACATGGTCCCCTGCTCCAGCTGATTGTGGCCTGGATCCAATCAATTTTGGTGGGCAGCACAGCTGAGAATGTGTGTGGCTGTCTCTGGCATGGCTCAGGGGCTCAGGAGACAAGGCATTTCCAGTCCTGGCACATGTCTCCTTCCAGCTGTCGGGTGCGGCTCCCGATCTGGACGGGCAGGTGGAACTGATAACATCCCTTCCTGAGCAGGCCTGAGATTTGCTGTGATCACCCGTTTCCACCAGAAGCAGGGATTCACCCACCTGCCCAGCAGTCCTGGCCATCTCAAGTCTGGCTTCTGGTGGATGGAGAAAAGCAGGGCCAGGGCTGGTCTGAAAAGTCAGCTGTGAGGACACCTATGTGTGCACTTTGCTACCAGCCCAGACTGCCTGAACTATCTGGCAAACTGCCAGAGGAGGAGACCCTTCTTTGAGGGCTGCTGAGTGAGCTCTAGGATAAATGTAGCTGCTGGGAAGGTCTGAAATATGCGGCCCTTAGACCTGGAAGAGTCTGCTCGCCTGATGACTAGAGTGGGGTTGGGCTGTGAAAGCAGCCTGCACATTTACTCATCTGTGCTTTCAAAGAGCACAGCGTTCTGAAGAAATATTCTTCTATCTTAACGTCCCTCTTATAGGGCCCTTCACAGGAGTTGCGGCCATGACCGAGGACAGGGAGCTGGATGTGCAGGAGGCCAGGGCTGAGGCAGGAACCTGGGGGAGTGACGGCTTAGGGCAGACTTCCACGTGGATGGTGGAAATGCAAGACAGATGCCAAAGGAAGTGGGGTCTGGGTTCCAAGGGGCTAAAAGAGTCCACTTTGACAAAGGTTCATATCATCCTTTACAAAGTACTATGCTCTGTCCCAGCCCCTGCAGGCTCCTGTCAGAGTGCCGGAAGCATTCTCGAGTGCAGTTCCAGGCTTGCTTCTGTCTCGGCTGGCATTACTATGCATGGTTTAGGCAGCCAATGGGTTTTCCGGCTTTGCAGTAAGATCTGATCTGATTTCAAACTCATACATAGCAGAAGGGCTGGAGAAGTCTTTTTAGAATTGCAAACGCAGGTGGGTATGGCCTGTGGGCATGCCGGCTAGATGTGCTCTGTGCTGTCTGGCCCAAGTGGAGGGAGGCCCAGGTGGGGAGACAGCTCTAGGCGCTGGAGAGGGAGCCACATCACATATCCCTGATTCCTAGCGCTTGGCACAGTGCCTGGCACACAATGGGTGCTTGGGAAAGAGTGTGTGGAATCAGACAAACAGATTCTACCACCGGATGTGGGCTGACTCATGTGTGATGGGGACCCTGGGCAAGTCACTTCACCTGGCGACTTACTCCCCACCTGTAAGGTGTGTCCCTTCCATAGCGTGTTTGCTTTTTCTGTTTTTATTTCATTCCTCTGACTAGTCTGTTTTAATGATGGAATGATTAAAAATAATGGGAATTCACGCTGTAAACTAGAGCCTCTAGACACACGTAAAGAATGGAAAATCAGAAAGCTGTCTCTAATGTGGTTACTTCTCAAACATGACCATTATTAGTAATTTACTAGCTAATAGTTCTACATTTTATTATCATTCTTATGTTTCAGAAGTGGGCAAAGTTTTAAGAACACACGTGTGTTTCCATGAGAGACAATAAAGCTGCTTAATGAAAGAATGAAATATGCAACCTGCAAACATTTTCACTTTTCCTGAATTAAGTCCTTGGGAAGAAGCAGGCCGCCTGCTCCTGAAATGGAAAGTTTGCTTTGCTTATCAACTAGAAGGAGACAGAAAGCTGGGAGAGGCGGCTCCTGGAAAGAAGCCAGACTCCACATTAGAAAAGATCTTGTTGGAGTATGATGCCAAGGAGAAATCACGTTCACGTTACAGGCACACACCTTCTGCACTAACATTCAAACGACCCAACGCGTGAGGAAAGGCTTGGAGATCTGGCTTAACAGCCTCCTCTGTGGGAAGTTTCTGGAGTTTCGTTCCTCTGGAGATCAGGGTGAGCCCATGGTGTGATGTGACAGCACAACCAACAGAGCTGATGCCAGTGTGGGCTGCCTGAACATGACCAGTGTCCACGACAAAGGAGCCACCATCCACTCTCCTCTGCCACGGCCAGGCACGTGTGCAATGTGTCCTCCCTTGTGGGGGAGTGGGTACAAATGAGGCCATGCAAAGCGGCAGATGCGGGGCAGGGCCAGGGCAATGGGGCCCTATGAAGAGACCTGAAGGAACTGGGATGAGAAGCTTGGAGAAAGAGAAAACTGCCCTTGAGAGCCATTCAGGAGTCAAATGTTTCAGGGGTTGGTAGATGGACTTGTTTTGTATGCTTTTGTCAGAGGGCATGGCTTAGGACCATGGAGTGAAAATTAGAAGGAGGCAAATGTCAGGCCCCCTGGAGAGAGAGAGAGCTGGGTAACAACCTGAGCCGTCACAGCATGGGTTATCTGATGAGCGAGGAGCACAGGAGGTGTCTCACCCCTGGAAGGGTTCAGAGGGAGGCCAGATGATAACTGGGGTGTGGCGGGGCTGAGATCAGTGAGAGTTCCGGTGAGCTTATCAGAGAAACTCTAAGAACCTAGGATCAAGTATGTGGGGAAGCCAATGGAGGCGCTAAGGTTCTGAACAATTACATCAGGTTCTTTATGGAGACGTCAGGAGATAGCCTCCCGACCCCTCATTAAGAGGGGACAGGTAGCAGCAAGGAGGTGCTGGTGGCCTACGGAGGGCCCTTCTCCACCAACACCTGTGAACGCCAAAGACAAAGATGAGGTCCACACTGCGACCAGCTCACACCACCCAGGAACAAGGACAACCGGGCGAGGAGGGAGGGAAAAGCTAAATTCACACTTAACTCGCAAGCCTCAATTTAGCTACAAGAACTGTTTTTGCCAAGGCTAACAGAACTTCCTGCAAGATCAAAGCTTCATCTCTTCTTCCTTCTTGGGGAAAGAAAGAGAAGGAGGAGAAGAGATGAAAGAGGGGAGGAAAGATAGGAAGGAAGATGGGAGTGAAGTGGGAGAGGAAGGTGAGGGCTCTGCCCCTTGGAGGCCGTACATTAGGAAGTGCCAACTTTTATCTATGGTGCCTCCGTGCCACGTCGTTACAGGCACCGGCAGGCAGCCCTTGAGGGTGAGTGTGGCAGGGTGGTGTCGTGACAAGAGCACTGGGCTAGGAGACAGGTGCTTTGGGCTCTCATCCCAGCCCTGCCTCTCCCTAACTCTGGGGTCCTGGGTGAGCCATGTCACCTCTCCTGCTTGTTGTTTCTTTCTGCGAAGTGCAGGGTTGAACTGGACTACCTGTAAGGTTCTCCCAGCTCCTGAGAGTCGTGCCTTCACGATCAGTGAGCATCCGAGCCACAGCGGCAGAGCCGAGGACTAGGGGTACGGAAAACCCACGATTCTTGTCCTGCCACCTTGTTTCTTGGGATTCTGGGAAGTTTTGCAGCCCACTTTGTGGGGGCTGCCCAACTCTGGGGCAAAGGAATTCTGGCGATGAGCAAGTTGACATGGTATAGGGAGAGGAAGGGGGGAGGGAGGAGTGGGGCAGGGCGAGGCACTTACAGCAGGAGGAGATGGGCACGCTGATGGCCAGGATCACCCAGGCGATGTCCATCTTGCTCAGGCAGATAGTGGCTCTGTACTGAGGTTTGTCCCCTTCGGCCACATGGGAGATGTTCGCTGCTGTTCCAGGCTTCCAGGTCCCGGCAGGGACCAGGTGGTTGAGGAAGTTTCCCGTGGCCGTAGACACCACTGTGGAGAGAGGACTGGGCACCCTGTTGGGCATGGAGGGGGTAGCCACAGCCTTCTCCTCGGTTCGGGAAACAGTGCTTTCTGAGACCCTGGGGGGGCGGGCTGGGGCCTGTGGGGTTGAGGATGTTCCCTGAGGAATCCCCTTGGAAGGGGCTGAGACACTGGCATCGAAGGCAGCCTGGGTGGGCCCCGTGGCGGCCGTAAAGACCCCAGAGCTGGCAGACATAGGTCTGCTGGTACGAGGGGTGACAGTAAGCCAGGAGTCACTGTGGCTGGGGCTGTCCTGCAGGTCACTGTGGGGGCGCTGAGAAGGCACTGGGGCAGGTTGTGGACTGGCAGGGGCACCTGAGGTTGCTGTGGCATTCAGCTCCCCTCCTTGGCTGGTGAAGGTGGAACCACCCCCCTGGTCTGCTCTGCTAAGGCCTGGTTTGTCCTCTGCAGGCACTGGGGGGTCAGTGGGTAGTCCCCACAAGGTCTTGCTGGGTGCCGCCGTTGCGGCCACTGTCTGGGTCTGTGGTGAGGACAAGTAATCCCAGAGTGGGTTCCTAGGGGTGAGGGTGGAGGACTCAGGCTCCACAGACCCTGTGAAGTTGCCTTTGTAGATCTGAAAGATTTTCCCCAGGGGCCGCTTCTGCCCCAGATGTGTGGAGCTGTGATTTCTTCCCCGCTGGCCTTCCTTCCTCCCGGAGTAGCCACCGGGTGCAGGCGGGACAGGGCGTGATGAACTACCGGCCCCCCTTCGGGAGGAGCCTGGGGGCCTGGGGGGCCTGCGCGTGGTAGCCCGGGTGGGTGCTGTGGTGGGGCGGCTGGTGGCTCCCGTTGGCTTTGTCAGCAGAATGGAGGGTGCAGCCTCCCCCGGAGGACGGCCCTCTGAGTGAGAGGATGTGGTTGCCATGGCAGCAAGAAGGGGCTGTGTGGGCAGGGGGCCTTCAGAATGGGGGGTGGCTGCCGTCACCATGATGGTGGAGACGGTGTTTGTAGGAGGGTGTCCATCTGGATGGGGTGTTGCCGTTGCCATGGGAGCTTCGGCCTGTGAGGAGGGTCCATTGGGATAGGGGGTCGGTGTCACCACGGAGGCAGGGGCAGCCACCACAGATGAGTGTCTGGTAGAGCTGAGCAGTGCTGTCACCATGGTGCTTGGGGTGGTGCCTGAGGGGAGGACCTGAAGAGATTCCTTGGGAGATGGTTCCTGGGTGGCAAATACCAGCGCTTCAGTCAGTGCCAAGATCAGGAGGAAGCCTTGAGAGGGAGACAGAGAGAAGAAGTAAAATACCTGAGGAATGGCTCAGAGCCTGGGCCTTCCTAATCCACAAACCTGTAAAGCTCTGGAACTCAAGGGAAACACCAGGAGCATTCCTGAGGTCCGCCTGGCTGCCCTGACCCTCACCAGACACAGCATCGTGTGGAGGTGGGGCAGGTCTATCGGTTAGGTGCCGCCCCGCACTGCTGGGAAGAGAACCGGCCCCATGGGAACCAGCCAGCTAAACTGGCCAGGCCCTTCCTTTCCCAAATGTCTCTGAAGGCCATCAGCCCTCTGCCCACAGGCAGCTTCGAGAACAGGCTAGGGCTGGGGCTGGGAGTGGGAACATGGCTTGCGGCCTCTGAGTGCCTGCTGCCCCTCTGCAGCCAGCGAGTGGCCAAGGCCAGTCTGACCGCAGAGAAGCCAGCAGCTCCGTGTGAGCCACCCTGAGTCAAATGAGGAAGGTTTAGGTGGGCAGAGCTGACCAACTCCCATGCCTTTCCTGAACTTTCCATTTATGAACTAGACAAAGGTACAAACGGACAGACTGCTGTTCATTCAGGCCCTCTCCTCGACCCTGGAGCGCACAAGAATGAACAGGTCGGTCTCTGGCCCTGGATGAGCCCACACAAATCCACAAACATGGCAGAGACGTGTCAGTGCCACTGGAGAGTGACGAGCTGAAGGGGACAGGGGTCCAGAGGAGGCGACCAGATCAGGTGCCTGTAAAGCACTTCTCACAGAGCCTGGAAGAGAAGATGCGTTCCATACACACCAGCGGGGTTTACGGTTGTCGTCAGTGGTTGACTGCTTCTCCTGTGTGCTCCTGAGGCTGAACTCAGTAGAGGACCGGTGGTGGGGCCCAGACCTTTTGAGCAGGAGGAGCCCTTTTGAGCACTAAAAGAAAATCCTGGATTTCGCGTGACGGTCAGTGCGTATGCTTTAGTTCACTGAGAAAATGCACAAGGACAAAAACCTACACATCTAAAAACACTTCTAAATATGCGTGGATTTTATTAATCACAACAGCATGTACCTACCTTTAAAAATAACACCTCATGTACATGTGAGACATACAGTCTATTCAGATCATAGAGTGGAAGACTGGCCACCCTGTACCACACATGGGCCGGGAAGAGCTGGGCCTCACAGGCCTCTAAGGCCTGATTCTGACCTGTGAACGCCTCCTTGTTCACACAACTCCCTCTTGGTCACCCTCATGCCCTTCCTTCAGCCCTGCTGGCCGCCCAGGCAATGGCAGAGACCTGTCTCCATCTCAGAACTCTCAGAGCCTCCCTCCCCCAATTCCAGCAGGATGAATGGCCAAAGCAGGGCCCTCGCAGAGGTTCCGGGGAGTCTGGATGGTCAGCAAAGCTGCCGACAGGGGACGGCAGGGGCTGGGTGAGCTTCCAGGAACAGAGAGGGGGAGATCATCTTCTGGTGATCTCCAGGATCACTACTGGGGCCGCCTCCAACTTAGGTGTGGGGTGGAGTCTCAGAAGAGACCAGTGTCCCCCTCGCCCTGCACTTCTAAATTAGTGTGTGGTGGGGGGAGGCTGAGGGACTGCAGATCAAACAGAGACTGTAGCCCCCACCATCTCTAGGACCAACAGTTTGCCCTAAGCAACCTATTTTTTCTAAACTTTCAATTGCGATCTAAACCATACATCAACAGTGTGCTCTGCTCATTCAAGTCAGTCCTAAAGACTTCACTGAGCACCTGCTCCGGCCCAGTCTTTCACACTCAATTTAATCCTCACAGCCACTCGCCAGGGTAGGAAATTGAGGCTCAGGGAGATTAAGCACCACGTTCAAAGTCCCACAGTAGCAGAAGTATCTGAAACCAGGGCTGTATCCAAAATGCACACTTCTCCTGGTCAAGCACCACCAATGGCGCAGGAGGAGAAAGGAGAGGACGGTAAATGGCACCCACAGAAGAAACAATGTGCTGCATGCTCTGACCAGCTCAGGGTTACTCAGCCCCTCCCGTGCCACTTAACACCACAGGGACAACCTATTCTCAGAACCCGTGGTCGTGACCTCTGATGTTCTGAGGGACATTCTCTTACAAGCCTCTGTTTGGCTCATGAGGGCCTTGGTTCAATACAAGTGTTGTTATGGACCGAACTGTGTTACTCCCAGGTGGGTATATACGTTGAAGCCCTAAGCTCCAGTACCACAGAAGGTGACTGTATCTGAGATAGGGCCTTTAAAGAGGGATTAAGGTAAAATGAAGCCATTTAGGGTGGGCCCTAATCCAATCTGACTGGTGTCCTTATAAGGAGAGGAGATTAGGACACAGAGAGAAACTCAGGAATGTTCTGCAGACAAAAGGCCATGAGAGGACACGGTGTCAGGGCAGCCCCCTGCAAGTCGGGGAGAGAGCGCTTATCAGAAAGCAATCCTGTCGGCACCTGGAACTTAGACTTCCAGCTTCCTGAACTGAGAAAGCAAACATCTGTTGTTTAAGCCCCCTAGTCTGTGGTCCTGTTCCGGCAGCCTGAGCGGACTGACACAAGTGTCTCCCTCAGAGATCCCCCCAAAGGAGAGCTGGAGACTGGGGCTTGTGCGCGGGTAGTTTATTTGGTGAAGTGATCGAGGGGACAGCCATGAGAGTCTGAGATGAGTGAAACAGGGAAAATCAATCCGAGGGCAGGTTATGAGCTGATGAGAACGGGCAACTCAAATTTGCTGGGGACCTCCGAGGAGCCGAGTAGACTACACCTCAAACTGTCCGTGTGAGAGGAGTCCTTACCAGCAGCTCCCACCCCACTGGCCCAGGGCTGCTCCATGGTGCTTACCCCACTGCACTTCCTCACTCCTGCAGGGGCCGGTGTGGCCAAGCCAGAACAGCCCCAGGCAGAGGGCCCGTCAGGTTACCCGGGCGCCCAGCCGGTGGCTGCCGCAAGAGCTGGAGCTAAAATTAAGGGCCCAGAGGATTCCTGGGGTGGAGCACCAGATGTGTCCGCTACAATCAGAGATCAGAGACCAAGGACACAGCAGTCCTTCGGCAGCAGCATCAAGGGCAGCATAAAGCTTTCAGAGAGACCCCGAGTGACCCCAGTGACAGGCCCGGGGTGGGAGAGGAACCTCCTGGCCTCTAGGTAAACTTCTGCAGCACTCTAGAGGCCGAGGGGTTAACATAGCCCTGGTCTTTAAAATACTCAGGGAAAGAAATTCCCCTGACTTTCCCACCAGGAGCATTCCAGGGGCTAAAATCCTCCCAGCTGGGAAGTGGATGACTGGAATCCTTCTTGCTGTAAGACTCCCAGTGTAAGTAAACATGTTTGCCTTTGCTGCCGCTGTTTTTTTTTTTCAGTTGCCAGGACCCCCTTAAGTTATTTTTCTCTCTAGGCGGATTGTTAAATGACCGCTCAGCCATTTCTTCTTCTGACTTTAGAGTAAACCTTTGGTACAATGAATGGATCCTGCCATGCTGGGTGCAAAGAGGTTTCACCTGGAGGAAGACATTTAGCTGTCACAGTGAGAGGGGCCCTAGAGGGAACTGAATTCAGTCCCCTCATTTCACAGAGGGGGCAACGGAAGGAGTAAAGTGACTTGTCCAAGCACATACAGCTGGTTGGGGACACAGTCTGGATCACAGCTACTGCTTCAAAGCAACTTTTCATTTGTATCATAAAAACTGCCACAGTGTTGCAGCACCCAAACGCCTCCTTCAGCCTCTACTGTCACCAATATGGAAATCAGACAAGAGATTACCTCTCCTCCTTGGCACAAAAGGTTAACAACTGAACACTGTCACAGTAACTGTGCAAGGCCTTCAACCCAGGCTCCCCTAACAGATGCAGATTTTCATTCAAGACCCTTTGTGCGGGTCTGCTCACTCCCGGCCTCACAATCTGGGGCGACCGCCTCTTTGCATGTCTTTTGCATAGATTTGCATAATAGACTCTGGAGGCTCTAACTGCAAATATATAAGAGAGACTGAAACTAAAATCTAGCTTGACATGCTTTAAACGTGAAACCGATTTTTAAACCATGTCGGAATAAAGACAAGTGTGTGGGGAGGTGGAAACCCACAGATTGATGGGTGCCCAGATGTCACAGGAAAGCCTCCTTCTACCTAAGATTCCAATGCATACATGATCCCAGGACCCAAGAGAAGGAAAGGCCTTCCTCCTGTTTATTTGGTGGGCTGCGTACAGTCCACATTGGGCGTGATATTTGCATCTGGTAAAGGCAAGGAGGGAATAGGTGAAGACAGAAATGGCTAACACGTACCAAGTGCCTCCTGCGTACCAAGAGCTGCTCAAAGGGCAAAGCCTGTACTGACACATTTATATCCTCCTAACAACGTGATGAGGCAGGTACTATTATTAACTCCCTGTTGCAACCGAGGAAAAGAGGCACAGAGAGGTACGGGAACCTGCCTCCTTTCACTCAGTTGGGGAATGGCGAGCTGCAACTTGAACCTGGCAGCTTGGCTACACTCTCAACCACTTTCACTCACTGTCTGCTCTGCCCCCACCCCCACCCCACTCTGCACATTCAAAAGCAATGATCCACAACCTTTTGGGAATTGATTTTCTGTTATTGGTCTTTTGACTTTTCTTCCCTCTTACCTATTTTCTTCTATCTCCATTTCAGGGCTCTGTATGACACACTGGGTATTCTTTTAACAAGCCAGTCAATTAACTTTATTTGCAAGTACCTGGGGGGGAATCAGGGGGAGGCACTTGTACTAGTTCAATACATGGCTGGAAACCCTGCTGTAATTCTCTCTTCTTCCCCAAACCTAGCATCTCATGCACACCACTGTTTAATTAAATTCATTGCATAATTTTCTCTTAAAATTGCTTACACACACACACACACGCGACATATTTGTTACACAGATAAATTTTCCGTTTACATATAAACAGAATTCTATCTCACTTTCCTTGTAATTTTAAATATCTTCTTTTAAGTGGAGCTTCCCTTCCCATTAAACTAGGTTTCTACTGCCAGATATTTTTCTCCATTGCCTCTAAACTCTTGT